ATAAAAATGTAATAAATATTACCCAACTCATTTTCTGTTTCATTTTAATTTTGTTCATCTTTTAATACTCTTTCTTTCTCTTTAACAGGCCGTTGTGAACGCGTTTATGCACCAAGCGCARTCGACCGGCACTACCTCAATAGCGGACACGAGTTGTGCGCTGGACATAAAACCCGCCATACAGAACGGCCTCGGYAGCCTGACGCACAATGGCAGCCAGCAGTCGTCGGCGGCGCCAAAGCAACGTGAAGGTACCAACAACAATAATAATAATAATAACACAAATAACAACAACAATAATACAGCGAGTAGTTCGCACAACAACAAYAATGGCAGCAGCAACAATAACAACAGTAGTGCGAACAATAATAATAACAATAACAACAACTCCGCGTCCACAACGAATAACAGCAGTCACAATGTACACGCACACTCCTCCAGCGCCAATACCATCTCCGCCCTGAACGGCTCCAGCCTATTCGATGGCACCGCGCAAGCGCACTACGCCAATAGTTTAGGCAATAGCAGCAGCAGTAGTGGTCTCGGTGTGGGTCTCGGCGGTAATGGACTCACAGCRAACTCGTCGCTCGGCAGCGCCGGCAGCAGCGCGAGTGCTATGGGTGGCTATGATGGCACATATGCCTCATATGCGGCGCATCATCATTTGGCTAACACCTCAGCGGCGGTGGCGCATCATCAGGCGGCCGCTGCCGCTGCGGCGGGTATGTTTCAAAGTTCCTCAATGGCAGCGGCGGCTGCAGCGCGRCACAGCATGTCGGGCGGTCATCATACGCATCATCATATGATGGGTGGTGGCGCGTCTGCGGGTGTGTCATCCGGGCTGGGGCAGAGTCATGGTGGTATTGGTGGTTGTGGTGGTAGTGGTATGAGTGGCGGCGGCGGCAGCAGCGGCGGTGGTAGCCTTGGTTTAGGCGGCCTAAGCGGTAGCAGTTTGGGTGGCAATATGTCGGCTAGTCACGGTCATGGACATGGGCATGGTCATAGCCATCATGGCCACGGCCATGCGCACAGTCATAGTCAGGATGTGAAGCCGGCGCGTACGAAACCGAGAACCAGTGCGGGTAAGCAAGACAAAAAACTGACCCATTTCATATGTAAATGTGATGGTGTGGGTGAATAATATTTGTATGTCAAACAGGAGCGACTTTGTGCCTATGATTACTTTATTGAAAATCAACCTTTGCAGAGTAATAAGTTTCATTTAGTTTATTAATTTATTAGGTGTAATGGAATACTAGTATTGAAATTTCACTAAATAAATACATTTTGGTATTCATTACTTGCTATGAAATTGAAAATAAATTTGTTGTTAAAAAATTATAAAATTTCTGCATTACATTGTTCTGTAATCATTACAATTATTAGTAATGAGTCAAGTAATTATAATGACCTAGATAGTTAAATGTTATTACGATAAATCTCATCGTAACTAAAGTACATTACTTTCTAGGTAATTGAAGTATTTAAAGGTAATGATAATGTAATYGGAGTGGACAATTATTACTAAATTTTATTTTTATGAAAACAAAATTAAATTTTTAAATTACATTGTTCGGTATTCATTACAATTATTAATAATTATTCAAGTAATTGTAATGATTACAAAATATTTTAATTATATTGCGAGAAACTTCATACTGATTYAAAATGAAAACATTTTAAAGAGCATTGTTTGCTATATAATGCCAATAATTAATGGTAATCCGATTACAATGGAAAGTAATGATTACTAAATTCAAATAAAAAAAAAWTTTCAAAAAATTATTATTTAAAAAGGTTTGTAATTATTAACTTCTTGTTAAGCATACAAGTAAAAATTTACTAATTACATTACCGTAATATATTTGAAGAAACCTCTTCTTAATTCTTGAAATTATTAAAAAACAGTTTTTTGATGAAAACACTTCGTTTTTAATAAAACTTTTTACTCAAAATTAGCACACGTCTGTATATACATACAATATTTTCTTTAAACTGTGTCAATAGTAATCGAAAAGGAYAATTAATCAAGTAATCAGTGTAATCATAGGCACTATTATGCTCAGAACATTTATTATTAATACCGTTACCCCTTTTGTTATTCAGTAAATGTTTTTAATAACACAAATATTTTTAAGTTATTATTATTTTTTA